TCCATCGATTATTTATGGATTTTAACATCAAAATTTGATATCTCAACTGAAAAATTTGGGGGTTTTTGCCTAATCCGAATTTAATAGAAAATTTGAGTTTGTGAACTCATTTCAACTCCTTTTTCGAAACGGTTTTCACTATTGGATTCTAAATTTCTTGGGGAACATTTTTCACTAAAAATTTCCAGATTTTGAGAATATTTTTCGGAACGAGATTTTTTTGACCATTTTACCCTTTTCTCCAAATTTCACGATATTGGTGTTGTTAGATTCGTATTGATTGTGAGATTCCATTTATGAATAGATTGTGGTGATTTGGAGCGTGCTCGGAAGGGTAAAAACTCAAATTTGAGTTACTAGTTGAAGTGTTTTGAGGCAAGTGACTTCTAAACTTTGTTAAACTCTTAGACTACACATGACTACTTTCCTAATTGTGTTGGGGAGTAATGGGGATTGAGGATGAGTTTTATTTGTTGATTGAAATTGTTGTAAATGAAAGATGGGGAATAAAACGAGCTAAGTGTGTTATATGTGACTTGAATTTGTTGAATAAGTCATGTGATAACCGATATTGAGGGGATAGAAGAGCATGAGTAAGCTATGATTGATACAGACATTGATGCTGAGACAGATGATGTGTAATACTATGATGTGGTCGTGATATGGTTGTGATTGAGACAGATGATGTGTAATACTATGATGTGGTCGTGATATGGTTGTGATTGAGACAGACGATGTGTAATACTATGATGTGGTCGTGATATGGTTGTGATTGAGACAGATAATGTGTAATACTATGATGTGATCGTGATATGATTATGATTGATGACATGTGCATATTCATTATTCATCTCATGTGTGAACTATCTGTTGCATGAGTTCTGAGACATTGATATGAGGATGGATGGATATGAGACACAGTTAAGACTAGCTCCGGCTAGAGATATATGAGATGGACTAGCTCCGGCTAGCGATTTGGATGCCGATGGGATCTGGTTCCGGCGGTGATACATGGTCTATGTGTGGCCCCCATGGGTTCTGATTTGAGTATTTAGCGCGGACTGATTACGTCAACAGATGTGTATCGTAGGACAGACATGCATCATGACTACATGACATTATTATTGCATTTGCATCGCATTTGACTTCATCTTTGTCTGTGGTGTGTGGATTTTACCTATTTGCCCCTCTTCATGTGATATATGATCTATTTGCTCTTACATGAGGATGTGAGGTTGATGTTGAGACACTGTTGGATATATCTGTTGATTATGAATTGTGTAGTATAGGTTGTTAGTTCGCTGTTAGAATGAAGTTTCGGTGGTTCGGTTGGGATTGAAATGAGTTGTTTGTAGCTGCTAGTTTAGCTTAGTTTAGTGTTACTTGCGAGTACCTGTTGCTTTTGGTACTCACCCTTGCTTCTACACAGTTGTGTAGGTTGACAGCTCTATCAGATCCGACTTATTACTCATCTTCAGATTAGAGCTTCCAGACTTACTTGAGAGGTAGCGGTTCATTCCAGACGTGCCCTCAAGTTATCTATATTTATTGTTTTGTTCTATTCTAGAACTTTACTATGAGACTTGTATATTTTATTCAGATTCCGTATTAGAGGTTTGTACATGTGACAACCAATTTTGGGGTTATGTTGAGTTTATTTAAAGACTTCCGCTTATCTTTCTATCTTATTCTTGTTTTATAAATTATGTATCGTTGAGTTTTTGGGTGTTAGGCTGACGTATCCGGTGGGGTTTGGGCACGTGCCATCACATCTGGTTTTGGGGTGTGACAAAAGTGGTGTCCTACGTGTATTATATATGCCTTGTAGGATACTGTGTCTACTTGTTCAATTTTTAGTTGAAGGTATTATAGTAATTTAACATTCAAGTTAGGAGTTCATCCTTTTAAGGTAGTATATATATATATATATAATATATATATATATATATATATAGAGAGAGAGAGAGAGAGAGAGAGACAGAGAGATAGATAAATAGATAGATATTATCACGTATTTTTACCTATTGCTTCTTAACCTTTCACATTCTTTATTCAGAAAAGTTTAAATGGTTCTATATTAATACTTTTATATTCTTTGTTAATGATTAGTACTAGAAAAAATTGGAGAGTCCCTACTATTATAACTACTGCTACTTGTAACCTTTCTTGATTCTTCTAAGAGTCTTTTTCTAATTACTTTTAGTTGTTTTTATCTCCTATATTTTTGTTTAGCTGGTGCCCTTCAGAATAACAAACATGTGACTTGGTTTGTTCAGTATTCTTTAGTTGTTTTTCTTTGTCCAAAACAATATATTTCAAAATATTTTCAATTTTTAAAAAAAATATAATTAAAAAAAGTTTGTAAAAACTTAATTAATGAGATCTTTTTATGATTTACTAGCTTTGGAATAATCAAGGAACACACATTTGAGAATACGAGGGGCTATTATCTTTCACATGATAAATTTCGGTGTTCATGGACAATGACATGAAAGAGCAAGAAAAACTAGTTGCTACTGGCTAAAGAATGAATAGTAAATAGGTCATCAAATTGAGTATCTTATACTTTACTTGCACATGTACAAACACAATAGAGAAAGTGACAATTGTCTAATTTATAAGAAATCATCGAATAATATTGAGGAACTAATTATATCAAGAACAAATATTATGATTAAAAATATGTAGAAGATAAAGGTTATTAAAGAGTAAGAATTTTACAATATTTCAAGTTCTTAATATACGTGACACACGAATAAGTTGTATATATATATATATATATATATATATATATATATATATATGTTTTATAGTTGTTGATTTGGTATAAACAATTTAGAACATATGTCAATTAATGGATGGACTGCAAATATACATTTATATATGTTTTATAGTTGTTGATTTGGTATAACCAATTTAGAACATATGCCAATTAATGGATGGACTGCAAATAAACATTTTCTGAGATCTATAAAAATTTCTTTAATTCTCATGTCTTATATTTGTTGATTTGATTTAAACAATTTAGAACATATGCCAATTAATGGATGGACAGCAAATATATATTCTCTGAGATGCCTTCATCTCTAAAAATTTCTTTAATTGTCATTGCATGTCTTAGATTTGTATGTTTTATATTTTACTCTTATATTAGAAATGGCTTGTTTCAACATGTCTGTTTTACAGGTTTAGGAGGTATTTTAGTGTTTTCAATTCTCTATTATTACTACATGTCTTCTTGCTGTGTTTTCAATAATTCTCCGAGATGCCTTCATCAATAAAGGGTTTTTTAAGAGAAAATTTTAGAAATAACAATGATAATCAATATAATAAGGTTTTATAGTTATAGTTTTGATAATTGTGCTTCATAACTATAGTTTCGTTTGTTATGAAGGCTGAGGTTTGTATATATCGCTTGGAATGTACAAATAGGGTAAGTATATATACAAATTTTGTATTTATACATTTAGGATTTTTTAGAATTTTGTTTGTACACTTTGCTTGTTGTCACGACCCAGGGGTACCCCTAGACGTAACACGGCGTACTTGACCCCGAAGGGGTCTCATACAAGCCCTTAGCATATTCATAACATAAGACATGGTAATGATGCGGAAATATTTAAAACTTTTACAATAGAAGTCTTTCCATAAAAGAAAATCATACGAGTCTAGACCTTGTCTCATACACCATCTAAAACAATAGAGTACAATCTTAGGGACATAGCCCTTTTCATCAATAGTCTTGAAAATATTTTTTGGGGGCCTCAAAAATTATGGGGCCCCAAGCGATGGCTTTAGTGGCCTAGTGGTTAAGACGGCCCTGCATCACCGTGATGAAGAACTTCCTTCAGGTTCATTTGTAGCTACTTAGTGATTATCCAAACGTTGTCAATTCTGAGCTCCATCTTAATATTTTCTTATAATGTGTTAATTACAGCATCACAAATTGTTGTATCCGAGTGTGTATGATAGTGGGTGAGGTTGTATGCCTTGTATCTACTGCTTTTGATGGTGCTCTTTGAACAAAAATTCCTGTAATTGATTAAGGTAGTGTATGGTGTAGTGTATGGATCAAAGTTTGTTTTCAATAATTTATGTTGTTGATGAAAGAACTAAGAAGAGAAAACACAATCTGAAGCCATGGAAACACCTTTTCAGAAAAAAAAAATCATGTTACGAAGAAGACTTAATAAGTTATGAATAATGTTTTTATGAGATTGATTAGTCTAGAATATTCTAAAAAGAAAAAAAAAGTTACCATTAATGATTGTCTTAATTTGCTTTAATAGTGTTGATGGAGAAAGGCTGAAAATTATGAGAATGAAGAAAGAGGGGAAAGAACTCTTCATATTTTCGGTAACCAAATAAGAATTTGTACAAAGAATCAAGAAAAGAAATCATAATATAAAAATAATATATTCAACGTAATACAGTATATTGTCATTTCAAAATATGATGTTTTATTTCATTTACTTTACCACCGTATATATTTTGTTGTATTGTACATATGAATAGTTTGTTCTTCAAAAGATAGAAAGAATTCTTATTTTGTAATTTCTTAAAAAAAAAATTGTAGTCACGCGAAGCGCGCACAAGTTTTAATTATGAGTCCTTCGGGACGACTCTGTTGGTTTGGAGGGTGGTTATCCGATCCGGGATCGATTCCCCCTCAATGTCTTCTGATTGTCGCATAGGGCTTGCCTAGTGCGGTTTACATTACCTGTGTGGTTTGCAAGATATTACACAGTGAGGGGATTATCCAATGCACACAAAGTGCTCACCCGAAAGGCAGAGGTTGTACCGGCTGGGGGTTATCCTGGGGTTTTAAAAAAAATGTTTTAATTATGAACTTGGACAAGTTGATATTGATAGGTGACATTATAGCTAGTGCTAGTACTCTATCACATCATTTCTTATCCATTATAAATTTGTGACTCAATACACCAATGTTTCATCATACTATTAATTGTTTGTAACTTTGAAGCTTATATTTTAATAACATGAAAGTAGCAGTGGTTGGAGCAGGGATAAGTGGACAAGTTGCTGCATATGAATTGGCAAAATCTGATGTCAAAGTTGTGGTTTATGAGAAGGAACATTATCTAGGTGGCCATGCTAAGGTGTGTATTGAATTATAATTTAAATGTCTATGCATATCATCATGTTAGATAAGATTTGCAAATTCATGTAGTCACTAATGAAGTTTGAGCGACTAAATTATTAAATCATATCAAACTAATTAAGTGAGTATATGTATATTTAGCCAACTCGAAATAACTTTAAATATGTTACTAAAAGTTAACATTTTTACTCTCCGATAAATATTTAATAAGTAACATTGTTACTCTCATATGATTTTACAGGAAACTTATTCGAACCTGATAGAATATTTTGAGTTGCTTGGAGTTAATATGAACATCTCTGATATGTCATTCTCAGTGAGCTTAGACCAAGGCCGTGGTTGTGAATGGGGTACTCGAAATGGATTCTCTAGTTTGTTTGCACAGAAGAAGAATGTACTGAATCCATATTTTTGTGGAGCATATCAAGGTATGAATCTCTTTTTAATAAGAGTGTTGAGAGTTGCTTCAAGATATCTGTTCCCTTGTAACCTGCTTTTGTGCCTAGTCTACAGTTGGACTCTTCAACTTTGTTCAATTTAGTGAACCAGTTTCTCTAACTGTTAGTCCTGTAATATTTCAGCTTATAAGTTTAATTTGAATCTGTTTATCCCAATTACGTTCTATTTTGATGAAATCGATATTTAGGGGACTAAACTAGCTGCCAAGCTATTTTCGCAGAGAGAATTTTAGTTTTCTTTCCACTTCCCTTTAGTGCACAAACTTTATTTTCCGCTTTGTGCTTCACTGCTTATTGATGTATATTTGCTGCAATATTTCAGGCTATGGCTTCCATGAGGATGGACTTAAGGTAGTATATACTACTTCTGTTAATAACAAGCTAAAAACAAATTTGGAGTCTTTTGCAGTTTTTGTTCTTATATAGATGATTGTCCTCCTCAGGCTGGTGTGGCTGCTGCAGATGGCATGCTTAGAAGGACTTGTTGTATTCTGGATAACCCCAAGCATATGGTACCAACCTGGCCTGAAACTGGAGCACGCCTCCTCGTTACTAGATTTCTCAAAAGTTTCATTCAAACAGGATGCATAATGTGAGTGATGATAGTTTCACCTTGTATTACTTTAATCCCAAACAGGATATACATATGTACTTTTGTTATTATATTATTCATAGCTTCAAAATTGGCTTTACCATTCATGCTAATGCCAGAATATTACTAGGAAGATTTTTGAGCTTTTAATAACTTTATTTATATGTTATAATATACAGCTTGTTGGAAGAAGGAGGCAAAATTTTCACCTTCCAAGGAACAGAGAAGAAATGCTCTCTCAAAGTTTCTCTTAGAGTTCATAATACCATATGCTTAGGGTTATCCAGAATACAACAATTCCTTCTAAGCTTAACCAATCTCTTACAGGTTGCAACTCGAGCTAACTTAGGGATTGCTGATGCTTTTATTCATGGGGATATCTCCTTTGTTAATAAGAATGAAGGTCTTCTTAATCTTTTCATGGTGGGGGAATGGCTCGATATCTTTGTAAATAGATATTTATCGGTACTTAGCTTACTAATATCTTTTGCAGATATATGTTGCCAACAGAGATTTGAAAGCATCTGTTAAAAGGTAAAATAGTTTACTTACTGACCTGAAATCAAGAAACACATACTTGTGTTCATATGTTAAAGTTTGTCATCATTTTGTGTGGCTCGAGAGGCTGGTGGACACCACTACTAGATCTGTCATCTGCAAAATATTTCATTGGACATGTTTCAAATCGAAACACCCTGACTCAGGCTCGTCGGAATATCTCTCTGTAACATCCGACAATTTAAAAATGAATATGAAGAAGCTTGAAATTTGGAAATAGTCATTTTTGGAAAAATTTAAAATCTGGAAAATTTGGCTAAGTGTGGAAATCAGTGAGTTTTTGGCCAACTTTGAGCAGTCATAACTCCTAGATCAGGATTATTTAGGAGTATTTCCAGTTATGGTTTCGAAGCTTGTGGAACGATCTTTCCAACGCCACTGAGTTTTCTCGATTCCGAGTTCGTATGAGCGAGTTATGATCTTTGAAAGTTGGGCAGTTGGCAGGGATTCCGTTCCGGAAATTTAAGGGCATTTTGGTCTTTTCACAAATAATTTCTTTTGAGCTTATATTGTTGTATTAGGCTGATATTTGGATCATTTTGTCCCATTTTGAAAGAGAAAGAGTTAGGGTTCAAGAGAAGAAGAAGAGAAGAAGGAGAAGAAGAAGAGAAGAAAGAGGAGATCAACAAGATTTGTCAAGATCATTGTGGATTTTCGTCGGGGGTGATCCCTATCAAGGTATGTGAGTCTTTAGTGTGGGTTTATCCTTTCCCCCCACATACCAAGCTCGTTTTTATGATTTGAGAAGAGATTGGATTTGTTGTTGAAGTTGTTGAAGTTGTTAGTTGTTGTTGATGTTGTTAGTTGTGTTGTTGAAGTTATTGTTGGTTGTGGGACAGGATTGGGCTGTGTATTTGAGTTGTGACCTATTGTATATTGAGGGATTTTATGATCCTTAGTGTTGGTTGGTTCATACCCCCACACACCAACTCGTTTTTAATTCCAAGAGAAGATTTATTGGTTGTTGAAGTTGTAGTGGTGTTGTGTTGAAGTTCTTGCTGATTTAGTACAGATTTCTGGCTGTGATTTTTGAGTTGAATCTATTGTATAATAAGGGTCTTTATGATTCTAAGTGTTGCTGCTGAAACCTTGAGGTTGAGAGGGTTTAGAATTGGAAAGAAACAAGGGGAAAAAGTCGGATTTTTGGGGAAAAAGGGGCTGGGCTGTTGCACCTCTCCTAGTGCCAAGGACACCAATCCTTCCCTTTCATTCACCATTTCTTTTTTTATACATGTTCCTAGGTATTATACCTATGTTTCCTATTTGTTTCCAACACTCCAAGGTACTTCCAAAAGTCAAGTAAAACTACAAGTCAAGTGAAGTTAGTTTCCAAGTCAAGTGAAGTTAGTTTCCAATTCAAGTGAAGTTAGTTTCCAAGTCAAGTGAAGTCAAGCTTAGAAGTAAGTAAGTCAAAGCAAGTCTTTAAGGTTTTCCAAGAGTCTTCATTGAGCGTTTTAACTTCATTCTAAGGCTCAAGTTCCAAGTTAAGTATTGAGTTTCAAGTCAAGTCAAAAGTTAAGAGTTTCATGTTAAGTTAAGAGTTTCACATCAAGCCAAGAGTTCAAGTAAAGTAAAGAGTTTAAAGTTGAGTTCTTTTCTCAAAGTTATTAGGGAACTATGTATTCCCAAAGAAGTTTTAAAGAAATGTTTTTACATTTAAACAAGGTTGGAAACTGAGATTTCCAAAAAGCCTTCGGGCTAGTTTTTGAGTAATTATCTCATATCAGCAGGAAGAAATATGTTTTAAAAACATAAGAGCCAGTACATTTTTGGGAGTAGTATCGAGCACCGAATTGGGGGAGCGTTCAAAGAACCCACAGCCCCCATAGAACCATGTTAGCCACCATGGGTAGAAAAGGATCATACTTTTTAGATGAATCCTTTTCAGATTAGACTAGTGGATCCATTAGGCAGTTCAGGTCTTATACCTTTGGCCGGGTATAAGATGCTCTGGCAGCGTGAGGTCGATCGCTGTATCATCACTATAGCTCTTATGTGATGGTTGTCGGTTAGAGAAACTCCCACAGCAGTTATTGTATTTTTCATACACAGAGATTATTGTATTTTTTATATACATCAGTTCATTGTATTTTTATACACATTTCAGGCTTATTGTATCCTTGTATACACACAGAGTTCATAGCATGTTTTAAGCAATCTTTCTTTATATCGCACTTGTTTTAAATTGCCTTATATTGAAAGAAGTCAGTCAGGTTGAGTTAAGTTGAGCCAGGTAAGCTATTCAGTTTCTTCCAGTTTTCCTTCTAGCCTTTGTTGCTTAGTTTTCCAGCTTGCATACTCGTACATTCCATGTACTGATGCCAGTTGGCCTGCATCGTTTGATGATGCAGATTCAGGTACCCCGGATCAGCATCCTGCACGTCGTTGATCCAGCTGAGCACTCCAGAGTCAGTGGTGAGCCTCCTTGCATTCCGGAGGACTCAATTATTTTGTGTTCTTAGTTTTTGTTTTATTAGGATGTTGCGGGGTCTGTCCCAACATCCATCTCAGTATTTTAGAGGCTTCATAGACAGACAGTCAGTCAGTTAGTTTTGAGTCTCTCATCTATATATATATGTAAATATTCTATTTTGAGATTCGAGTTGCCTTTATGGCCATATTTTATAAGTTAAGTTGTTTTGTAATATTGCATTGCATTGAGTTATTCTGTTGAGGTTTCCGCTGAGTTAAGAAAGCCAGGCCAAGGGTTCGCTTGGGGCTAGAAATGGTCTCCGGGTGCCGGTCCCGCCCAGGGTGTAGGCTCGGGGCGTGACAAACTTGGTATCAGAGCACAGAGTTCAGGAGTCCTAGGGAGTCTATGAAGCCGTGTCTGTAGAGTCCTAGTTATCGGTGTGAAGCGCGCCACATCTATAATTGGGAGGCTGCAACATTTAGGAAGATTTCTCATTTCTTTCACACTCATTTAATGCGTTAGAGTTGATCTCTAAAAAGTTTCTTTCTAATCCATGCTTGCGCGTGTTTCAGATAGTCATGCCTCCACGAAGAGTTGGTAGAGGGCGTCTTCCTAGACGTTATGTTGATGAGCAAGAGTTACCCTATGCACCGGGAGTGCAAGATCAAGGGGAAGTTTCTAATGCGAGTTCAGAGAGGCAATTAGAATGTTGAGTCAAGCTGTAGCAAATCAGATTGGTCAGCAAAGAGGAGCTCGACATGAAGGAGCTGACACTTCAAGGATTCGTGAGTTCTTGGGGATGAATCCTCCGAGTTTCATGGGTTTGAGCACTACTGAGGATCCAGAGGATTTCATTGAGGAGTTGAAGAAGATTTTTGATGTGATGCATGTGGCAGATATTGAGCGGGTTGAACTAGCTGCTTATCAATTGAAGGATGTTGCTAGAACTTGGTTCGACCAGTGGAAAGGGGGCAGAGCTGAGAATGCACCACCTACAAGTTGGGCCGATTTTGAGGAAGCTTTCTTGGGGCATTTCTTTCCTCGAGAATTGAGAGAGGCCAAGGTACGTGAGTTCCTCACACTTAAGCAGGAGTCCTTGAGTGTTCATGAGTACATTTTGAAGTTCACACAATTATCCCGCTATGCTCCGGAGATGGTTGCGGACATGAGGAATAGAATGAGCTTGTTTGTTGCTGGGTTGTCTCGGTTGTCGAGCAAGGAAGGTAGGGCTGCAATGCTTATCGGGGACATGGACATATCAAGGTTGATGGTTTATGTGCAGCAGGTTGAGGAAGAGAAGCTGAGGGACAGAGAAGAGTTCAGAAATAAGAGAGCTAAGATCGGGAACGAGTCCGGGCAGCAGAGAGGTAATTCAAACCGTTCCTCCTTTCAGCAAAGGCAAAAGGGACCTGCTCCATCATTTGCTAGAGCACCTGCACCCAGATACAGAGGTGAATTTAATGTTCAGAATTCGAAGGACTTCAGGGCTAGACCAGCACAATCTTCGGGTAGTGTGGCGCAAGGGAGTAGTAAGCCTCCTGTTTGCGCCAAATGTGGTAGGAACCACTCAGGTATTTGTCGAGATGGCTCCATTGGTTGTTTCAGGTGTGGTCAGAATGGACATTTCATGCGAGAGTGTCCAAAGAATAGGCAGGGTAATGGAAGCAATAAAGCACAGTCTTCTTCAGTTGTTCCACCAGACAGGACGGCACCTAGAGGAGCTACTTCTAGTGTAGGTGGAGGAGCAAACCGCCTTTATGCTATCACCAGTCGCCATGAGCAAGAGAATTCTCCGAATGTTGTCACTGGTATGATCAAAGTCTTTGCTTTTGATGTGTATGCTTTGCTAGACCCAGGAGCGAGTTTATCTTTTGTAACTCCTTATGTTGCAAATCAGTTTGAGGTTCTTCCTGAAAGACTTTGTGAACCCTTTTGTGTTTCTACACCTATTGGGGAGTCTATTCTAGCGGAAAGAGTTTATCGTGATTGTCCTGTTTCTATCAATCACAAGAGCACCATGGTTGATTTGGTTGAGTTAGACATGGTAGATTTTGATGTCATTCTAGGTATGGATTGGCTTCATGCTTGTTATGCATCGATAGATTGTAGAACTCGAGCAGTCAAGTTTCAGTTTCCGAATGAGCCAGTCATAGAGTGGAGTAGCAGTTCAGCAGTGCCTAAGGGTCGTTTTATTTCGTACCTTAAGGCAAGAAAGTTAGTTTCGAAGGGTTGTATCTATCACTTAGTCCGAGTTCATGATTCTAGTGTTGAGATACCTCATTTCCAGTCAGTTCCTATAGTAAGAGAGTTTCCAGAAGTGTTTCCTGATGATCTACCCGGAATTCCTCCTGAGAGAGAGATAGATTTCGGCATAGATCTCATTCCAGATACTCGTCCTATCTCTATTCCGCCATATAGAATGGCACCAGCAGAGTTGAAAGAGTTGAAAGAGCAGTTGAAAGATCTCCTAGAAAAGGGTTTCATTCGACCGAGTGTCTCACCTTGGGGTGCTCCGGTTTTGTTTGTGAAGAAGAAAGATGGTTCCCTTAGAATGTGTATAGATTACCGCCAGTTGAACAAGGTTACCATCAAGAACAAGTACCCTCTTCCGAGGATTGATGATCTTTTCGATCAGCTTCAGGGTGCCACTTGTTTTTCAAAGATTGACCTCCGATCCGGCTATCATCAGTTAAGGGTAAAGGAAAGTGATATCCCAAAGACAGCTTTCAGAACCAGGTATGGTCATTATGAGT